GAGTTCAGCCAATGGGTACACACTTCCGTTGAACGAGTTTTCCATGCGCTTAATTCAGACTACAGAGGAAGCAGACGTGACAAAATGTATCAAATGCACTGGCGCATGTCAAGTTAATTCCGATAAGATGTTTAGAACTCATTTAAAATCGTGATTACAATGCGCTTGAACCCCGATTTCTCACGTTTCTATCACTCACGCGCTTCGGTGAACGGTGCGTTTTAAAGTTTGGTGTTTCATGTGCATCATGAAAACTATCCACGAAGGAACTAGTTCACAGAGATTTCCTGACCCGCTGTATTGTTTTAGCTTGGATAGATGGATGGTTTGTTGTTTTACGCCGCACTCAGCAATATTCAAGCTATGTGACGGCGGTCTGTAAATAATCGAGCCTGGACCAGATAATCCAGTGATTGATATAATGAGCATCGATCCACGCAATTGGGATCGATGACATGCATCAACCAAGTCAGCGAGTCTGACCACCCGATCCTGTTAGTCGCTTTTTACGACAAGCATAGTCGGCGTTTACGGCAAGCATGGGTTGTCGAAGTCCTATTCTACCCCGTAATCTTCACGGGTCGTTTTAGCTTGACGAGAACTTTGGACAAAATGACAAGGTGTGTGCAACAATATCTAATTACTGTTTACTTTTGGTTAACATATAATGTATAACATATTTATAAAATATTGTGTCATAATTTTCAATGTGTTCGCCATAACAAATAATGTTAAAAACTGTCTAAAAGATTTTTTTTATGAGGAGTTACCTAACCTAAACCCTAAAATGCACGACAGTGTTCACGCACGGAGCTAAGCATACCAACATAATTCGTTATGGTTGGCGGACATGTAAGTTCGCTTCAGATTATTAAATGAAGATATATGCCTCAATGACTTCATCAAAACCCAACGTAGACATGTAAAATGGTTCCTAGAACCTTTTTAAATAATATAGTAGGTGAAACGTTAAAACCTTGCAATTTGTGGGTTTAGTAAGGGACGACATATATGTATGTACTTTAAATGTATAACGATGTATTTTGTGTATGTGTGTGAGAAGGAGTGTTGCAGTTGGTGCGTGGGAGAGAGAGAGAGAGAGAGAGAGAGAGAGAGAGAGAGAGAGAAAGTGAGAGAGAGAGAGTGAGAGTGATAGAGATTGTGTGTGTGTGTGAGAGAGAGAGAGAGAGAGAGAGAGAGAGAGAGAGAGAGTGAGAGAGATAGAGATTGTGTGTGTGTGTGTGTGTGTGAGAGAGAGAGAGAGAGAGAGAGAGAGAGAGAGAGAGAGAGAGAGAGAGAGAGAGAGAGAGACTCATAGTTTTTTTTTAAATTTCAGAATAGCTAATGGTCGGTTCCTCAACAACCTTTGACAATAACAGCCAATATAATATTCTTCGAGTTATTGTCAGTATGTGACTGAGTTTGGTTTTATAGCCATAGTGTTAAAGGATGAAATATAGTGCAAAATGCTGAAACTCAGATCATTTTAGAGTTCAAATAATCATTCTAAATCCCTTTACATTTTACATTTGTAACAACGAAATAATTACCGCCATTTTCTCGTTGGGGCGTAAAAAACTTGCCTCTATCATGCTACATGTGCTCGGGTGAAATCACATTTTTACTGTCCAGCGAGAAAATGGTCGTTACACCTACCAAATTCCCGTTTGGCATGGACAGCGCTTACCCCCTGTAAGTGTAGCAGAAGCAGCACCATACCCGTGCTCGTGGGTTTCACCGAAGTGGTAAACGTCTGAGCTGACACGCTGCGACATAACTGGAATACTGTTAAAAGCGGCGTTTAACCCAACTCACTCACTCACTCTAAATTAGCTCCTGTTGAGGTGCGCCAATTATTTCGTCTTTCAGTGTTTTAGCTACAGCTTAAACGACGCAGATTCATTATCCAAACAGAAACGTTTTCAATATTATGGTTTAAACACACCACGACCTTGACTCGAAATAAGTTTCGATTGTGACGGTGACTTTGAATGTAAAGATGCCCTTCTATCTGGTAGGTTACACCTAGACGACCAAGGTGCCTGGACATGGGTTACACGCTACAACTGTCCGTGGTCACGTGGGCTCCATTCTGAGAAAGCTATGCTATGCTGGACTTTCCCTGTGAAGAATGTGGTCAGTAGATATAGGGGTGTATTTTGCTGGTCCGAATGTTCCGAGTAGTGGGGAAAGTATAACATTCCGCACTCGTGTTGAAGTGTACGAATGAGTTGCGGGTGCTGTCAACACCCATTGATACCCCAGTTACCGTAGAAAGGCAGTTGTAGTGTCAGCTGAGGTCGTCTGGAAGTCGGGTATGATATATTTACACATTGGTTGATATAGAACAGTTCTAAGCTACAGGTATAAAAGGATAGATAAACTGTCTCGGTTTAACTATCAATTTAGTACATTTCGAGTCATTGACCTGAGTAGTGCACACCCGTTCCAGCAATTAAGGGTATAGTGGTTCATAACGGTCAGCGTATCAGTACTGAAGCAGTGTTGCTAAAACAACATTAAGACTCTATTTTCAGACCCGTAATATTTTAGCTCTAGCTCTACGCGCTATTTCCTTGTATAATTAGTTGATATTTTAATGTTTCCGCTCCAGGTGAGACGCGCCACGTCCTCGTATAATGTGTTAATTGATATCTGTTGCTTTAGCCCCAGTGGAGACGCGGCACTTCTTAGTATAATGTGTTAATTGCTCTCTATTGCTTTAGCTCCAGTTGAGACGCGCCACGTCCTAGTATAATGTGTTCATTGCTCTCTATTGCTTTAGCTCCAGTTGAGACGCGCCACGTCCTAGTATAATGTGTTAATTGCTCTCGAATGCTTAGCTCCAGTCGAGATGCGGCACTTCTTGGTATAATGTGTTAATTGCTCTCTAATGCTTTAGCTCCAGTTGAAATGCGCCACGTCCTAGTATAATGTGTTAATTGCTCTCTATTGCTTTAGCTCCAGTTGAGACGCGCCACGTCCTAGTATAATGTGTTAATTGCTCTCGAATGCTTAGCTCCAGTCCAGTCGTATACTAGGACGTGGCGCGTCTCAACTGGAGCTAAAGCAATAGAGAGCAATTAACACATTATACTAAGAAGTGCCAATGCTTTAGCTCCAGTCGAGACGCGGCACTTCTTAGTATACTGTTTTAGGTGAAATTGGGACGCACCACTTAAACGATGAAGATTCATTATCCAAACAGAATGAATTTCTATGTTATGGTTCAATAGTTTCGATAGTCACTGTGACCTTGATTGAATGTAAACGTAAGTATCCTTCTACCTAGTAGGTTACCTTGACAACCAAGGTGCCTTGACATGGGCAACACAATGTCACAAGGACGCACTTCACGTAGGCTGGGCTTCCTGTAAAGAGCGTGGTCAGTAGATATTGGGGTGTTTAGGGGTCACAATGTTTCGAGTGGTAGGTAAATCGTGTAAGGATAACAGCAGGCGCTGTCCACAACAAATAATAGATGTGTTTAAATCCCTAAACGGAATATTTGTTTATTTTTCTGTTGTTAAAAGCCACACTCAGCAATATTCCAGCTATATGACGGCGGTCTGTAAATAATCGGGCCCGGACCAGACAGTACAGTGATTAACACCATGAGCATCGATCTGAGCATTTGGGATACTATGAATGCATGAACCAAGTAAGCGAGCCTGACGCCCCGATCCAATTAGTCGCCTGTTACAACAAGCATGGGTTGCCGAAGACCCATTTTCTACCCGGATCTTCACGGGTGGCAAAGTGTGAAGGCCGTTTCTTACGTTTATAGCTCCACGAACGCAAAAAAAACCCATCTATATGTTCGATTTCAATTCTTATAAATAAAAACGTCAACAATAATAACTTCACATCCTTTTTAATCACTAGCAAAGAAAAGACTGTAGACAACAATACGAAACCAGTGACTTTGTTCAGTGCAGTAATGCAACACAAGCCCTGCCAAGTCTTACAGCATTCTGTCCGTTATCATCAACCAATCAATAAACAGTAGTCCGTTAGTAGGTGTGTCATTATTTATGGAAAGATAAACGAAAAAGATTGTTTGGTTAAATCAAATGCCACGGAATCACTTGCAATTATTCATACAGACATCATTTCTTGTGTTATATTTTGTAGCGGGCACATTGCTCAAAATAAGCAGCTGTATAGGCCATATAACCTTTGGTTTTGCGTCAGTTGCGCCAGTTGGGTGATAATGCGAAAAAACGTTTTTCTAGAAAATATTTTTTATGAAAATAATAAACGTGCAGCGATATTGTCTTCAATAGGTTCAAATATTATTTTTTGTTATTGAAAATTACTTATGAAAGGGCATATGGCTTATACCATTCTTCTCTTGCCGATGATGATACTTTGTAATAATGTTCTCCTTATAGCTTTCCACCATTCGGGCTCTGGAACAGGAATATTTGCCGGAACAGGAATAGTCCACGGGGACTAAGTCTGGGCTGTATAGTTAAATTACCCACCCTCCAGCCCAGACTTTGCCCCCAGTGACTATTTCCTGTTCCGGCAAATGCAATCTGCCCTACGTGAGAGATGCTTCCAGGATGACGAGGACATAAAGGCTGCCACAGAGGCGTGGTTAGAGGACCAATCTGCGGATTTCTATAAAAGTGGTATTAAAAGCTTGAAGGACAAATGGAATAAGTGTATTGAGGTGAATGGAGATTATATTGAAAAAATAAAAGTGCAAAAGATATTCTGCGACTTGGTCTAATATTGAAGTTGCAAAACGCCCCTCGTATCGTGTGAAGTTGTGACCCTAAAGGCTAGCTAAATACAATGGTTATTCCTAATATAGGATATTTACCATACCCAAACACACACTCGTGATAACCTCTATATACACACACTTACCCTATAAATGGTGAGTTACTATTGTATACCTTGTACTCTTCATTAAATGAAGGAAGTAAAGCAGATCTATCCTCACCCCCTGAGTTAAGTTGCTGATGAGTCTGTGTTTCTTGTCTCTTCAGGTACGAGCAGCTCCGGTCTTCTGCTTCCAGCTCCTTTCATAACTAATAAAGTCAACCCCTTGTCTAGGCGAAAACCTGTAACAACCAGAGCCACCACCACAACAACGTCCCCAACAACATCCGCCACCACTTCAACTTCCCCTACAGCTTCCCCTACTACCACTTCAACTACAACCACAATTAAAAATCCCCCCACAACTTCCTCGACTACTACAACATCAGCCACGACGACAACTTCCCCGACTACCACAACATCCGCCACGACTACAACTTCCCCCACCACTTCCCCGACTACAACATCCGCCACAACGACAACTTCCCCGACAACTTCCCCGACTACAACATTCGTTACGACTACAACTTCCCCTACAAATACTACAACCACCAGGACGACAACTTCCCCGACTACCACAACATCCGTCACAACTACAACTTCCCCTACAACTTCCCCAACTACCACAACATCTGCTACTACTACAACCACAACTACAACTTCCCCCACAACTTCCTCGACTACTACAACATCCGTCACGACTACAACAACTACCCCCACAACTTCCCCGACTACCACAAAATCCGCTCCGACTACAACTTCCCCCACAACTTCCCCTACTACTACATCCGTCAGGACTTCAACTTCCCCGACTACTGCAACTTCCCCCACAACTTCCCCGACTACTGCAACATCCGTCACGACTACAACTTCCCCTACAACTTCCCCTACTACTACAACATCTGCCACGACTACAAGCTCCCCGACTACCACAACATCCGCCACGACTACAACCTCCCCGACTACCACAACATCCGACACGACAACAAATTCTCCTACTACCACTTCTACTACCACCACGACTACAACTTCGCCTACCACGACGGTAACTCCCATCAGATATCACGAGTGTCCGCCTCACACCATCAACATCGACAACAAACAACGTGACGACAAACGATGGTGGGTCAACAACTACTGCCACTTCTACGGCGCGGTCCAGAGCTTTTCCCACGCGGGCCCCTCCCTACAGTGCAAGGGTGCTAATTACAACTCAGAAGACGTTTACACGTATGACGAGTTCGAACGAGGTTTGACTGAGAGCGGTGACGTCGATGATGACACTGACGTGGTACTACTACTACACTCTCGACTACACAATCCACAAGTACAACAGCGAAAACTACGAATGGTTTGATCATTATCAGCTTCAACACGGACCATAGGCAACAATCATGGATCCCAACCTTACCTAACGGTCTCTTTTTCTTATTTATTGATGTACTGTTCCCCGCTTCAATACGACCTTAAACGTGATACTATCCCAGAATGCGAAGGACCACCAACTCTCTCGACGGTCACTTCACAACTGTATATATCCTATACAAGTCTCGCTACATTCACAATAGTTTGGCGAGACTTCATGGCATGCAGGGGGTCATCTCAAAACAATATGCAGTATGTAAAAGTAATTTGTTCTTATTCAATTGCAGTTCATTAAAGAGCACATCTCTCGGCAGGTATGAAATTCCGTCTGTTTATCTTCCCTGTTAATAAAGGACCCGTGAAGATCCGGGGTAGAATAGGTCTTCAGCAACCCATGCTTGCCATAAAAGGCGACTATGCTTGTCGTAAGAGGCGACACACGGGATTGGGTGGTCAGGCTCGATGACTTGGTTGATGCATGTCATCGATCCCAATTGCGTGGATCGATTTCCATGATGTCAATCACTGGATTGTCTTGTCCTGCCTCGAATATTTACTGACCGCCGTCATATACCTTTAAAACTGTGACTTCGTTCTATTGTTTGAACGCTCCATTATTTTTCAGGAATGGAGACTTGTTTGTCAACTATACATTATTTTGAACCAACATTTGATTTAACTTCTAGTTTCTTTTTTAAGGAATGGAGAGTTACTCGCCCCTTCCACTCTACGGAATATTGCTGAGTGCGGCGTCAAACAACAATTAAACAAACAAGTCAACGGAAAATCTAGCTTGAAGTTCGGTTCAGCAAAGGTGGAGGAAGCCGTCGGGAATATTGCCGAGTAAACAACAAACAAACAGACAAACAAACAAATGTTCCACCAGGAGGTGTAACCTGTGTACAAGTCTGTCGCCATGGCTGCATTGCATGACTGTGTCTTTTAAATGATGACCTTATTCTTGCGGTGGACATCTTCCCGGGGCAAAGGAGGAAACAGTAAACTCCCTTGGCGTGGGAGGACGTTCTACACCAGCAGGAGGAAGACTTCAACACCAGTGAGGTCCGACGCTCCAGCAGTAGGCCTCGGGGGAGTATGTTGAAAAAATCATTAACACCAAACTAGACTGAGCCTACAATTTCAAAAATTGTCAAACAAATTATTCATGGTTCCTTGCTATTTCTTAGTTCAGTGGGGCGGTCGGGTAGCCTAGTGGTTAAAGCGTTCGCTCGTCACGCCGAAGACCCGGGTTCGATTCCCGACATGGGTACAATGTGTGAAGCCCATTTCTGGTGTCCCCCGCCGTGATATTGCTGGAATATTGCTAAAAGCGGCGTAAAACCATACTCACTCACTCACTCACTCTTAGTTCAGTATATATAATAACACATTAAGATTTAGATAAGCGAAATAACACATATTTCCTTATTATCATGGCAATCCGAATCATTTCATAAAAAAACAATGTACAAAACATAAACAAATACACAAATAGCCAGCAATATATTAGGGCTACTTTATGTCACGAACTTAATGATTGGGATTACTTTGTGCCTGAGTCTTTTACTGACGGACATACAGACATGACAAGACATGGTGAGCACATTTGACACAAATTGTGAGTGATTTGGGTGGTGTAACGCAGCTTTGAACAGTATTCTAGTTATATCACGGCGTGTCAGCTTAATGTGGGAGGAAAGACCGACGTTCACCACTTCGGTGAAACCCACGAGTACGGGTATGGTGCTGATAAACCTAGAAACATTACAGGGGCGAACCTGGCTTCGAACTCACAATCATAGGTTTCTGGCGTACACTGGAACATATCTGTAATGGGGCCTTACACAGGATGGCGACCTTTGTGCCTCCCGTGTGCGACCATAGAATTTGCCAGGTCGTCGTTGGAGGCTCAAAGGAGGCAGAATGGTTGCCTAGGTCGCTCCAAGGTGGTACACGGGAGGTTCAGACATCGCGATGGACGCCATGGTCGCCGTGAATTTTTGAACATGTTCAAAACAGTCGCACAAAGGTCGCCGAGGTTGTTGGTGGCTCAAAGGAGGCAGAAGGGAGGCAGAAGCATTGCCGTTGTTGCAGAATGAAGGCAGAGTGGTCGCCCAATGGTCGCCAGGCAGAGGATGTAAATGTATTCCGTTAATCTGGGCGATGCCTCTACCTCCCTTGTGCCTCCTTTGGGCGACCAACAGCGTGCATTGAACGATAACTGTGGCGACCGCCGTACCTCCATTCGGCGACTACGGCGACCCTTGAGACACCATAGCAATGCTTCTGCCTCTTTTCTGCCTCCTTCGAGCTACCTGTTGTGCCTCATCAGCCTGCCTATAAATAGAGGGATTGTACCTGCAGTGTTTCATTGTGGTTGCAGACGCTGAACAACTCGAGCAGTTACTGCTGAACAACTGCTGGAGCAGTTACACAGAAATATGATTTTCTGGATTTAGGCGACCATTGAACGTCCTAGCCGATTTTTAATCGCTCAAAGGTGGCACAAAAGTCGCAGCCCTGTGTAAATGGGGCTTTAGCTACGTGTACTATATATTTCATAAGAAGACGGTAAAGTTGTTGCCGTTGGTGTCCTAAATATCCTTTGCTGTTTTCAGAAATGGCTCTGGATAAGCTCATGGTCTCAACTGTCAACCTCGATTATCCGGTGTACTATATCATCTATACCATTGACCCATTCGTCACCGTTGCTTCCTTAAAAGCCTGATTGAAATAGTTCCATGCTAAAGATAGCAGTCAAACCAAATTACAAGCACGAGAGACTGTTTGTTGTTTAACGCCACGGCGGTCGGTAAATGATCGAGTCTGGACCAGACAGGCCAGTGACTGACATCATGAACATCGATCTAAGCAATTGGGATACGATGTCATGCATCAACCAAGTAAGCGAGCCTGACCAACATATCCAGTTAGTCGCCTCTCACGGCAAGCATAGTCGCCTTCACAAGTCTCTCAGCAAATTGTAGATTACTAGGCCTTGTACTCCAGACAACTGGGCCAACATGCACAAAGAAATCTTAGCACTATGATCAAAACACCCCCTACTTTAATTACGTTGGACAGTACAGCTTTGGATGTATTCAAGTTATATCACTGTGTCAGCTTTAGAGTGATGAAAGCCGGACGTGATTCAGGTCTCAAACGAATACAACTTTGGTTAAACCCATGCGTATGGTGCTGAAACATAAGAGGGGCGAACCCGATTCGAACACCCATAACACAGTCTTACGACAGTGGTAGTCCTGGGGTCGCGTTGTGCAAATGGGCACTGCTCCACGTACGAGGTGAATGTTGTTTTACACCACAGTGAGTGAGTGAGTGGGTATGCTTTTAGCAATATTCCAGCAATATCACGGCGGGGGACACCAAAAATGGGCTTCACACATTGTACCCATGTCGGGAATCAAACGGCGTGACGAGCGAACGCTTTAACCACAATGCTACCTGACCCCCCTTACACCACAGTAAGCAATATCTGTACTTAAAGGGCAAGTTAAGACGAAAATAAACCTATTTTTCTTAGATTTGTTCATTATGAAATGTATTTACTTAGTAGTTTCAGAGGCAAAACAATAAAAATATCACAAGTATCTAATTTATTTTATTCATTAAATCGGTTCATATTTTTCACATTTACCGAGAGTTCTATTTCCATGATAACACAACATGGCCGATGCCCCTTGCAATATGACGTTATTGGTGCCAATTGATAAAGAAATGACGTCATAAGACTTTATTAGACCCGTTTCACGTGGTGTGTGATTCTATCTTCTCAGATGCGCAGCCTATTGTTTTGTTCGGTGCCACGCTGTTCAAAACACAACGTTAAGCACAATTACTCTAACATCATTTCGTTTTCCAAAATCGCGACTGAGAAGACCACAATGCATGGATAACATACAGTAAGATTCGCGATGATGGCTGGAAGGGTCCGCTGAATTGCGTTTATTCGTTCATTTGTGTTGCGCATATTGGCTCTTGCTGAGTGGCTGTCGTGTTCCTCGAAAGATTATACCTGCTGGTTCTGAAACTCATCTGAAGCGGGTGTGTACGATCCTTATATGGAAACGGGCTAAAGGGACAGCGCTCTCATGAAGACCCCATTGTCTGTGCTGTTTTTGTAATCGAACGAAGCGTACCATGGTAAAACTGGGGGGTTTGAGTCTCATACAACGGCTGCTGATGAAGGGGGCTACCGCTTGAGGCGGCGCGGTTGGATTTCCCTCCCGAAGCAATACATGACAGGGTGGAGCTCAGTGATTTCTTTTGGTAAGTCGAGCATTCCCTGTTATAGTTTTGAGTGGACGCTTCATTTCGATGACCCGACATATATACATGATCTGTCTGGCTTCAATGCCTGCATCATCCATAGCCTATATCGAGGTCGCTCTCAGTTTTCCCCAATGATTTTTAATGTTATTTTCAGACATGAAGGAATCCCCCAAAAGTAGTTCTGTATGTCTCAGCTCGATTGACAACGTAATCACGTGACATACTGACGTTCATCGGGAAATGGTCGTTTGATTTGTTTGTTGTTTAACGCCGTACTCAGCAATATTCCAGCTACATGACGGCGGTCTGTAAATAATCGAGCCTGACCACCCGATCCCGTAAGTCGCCTCTTACGACAAGCACAGTCGCATTTTACGGCAAGCAGGTCTGGATATGTGTGTTTGGCCCAAGATGTAGATGATTCCCAACAATATCATAACACTTAGCCTTTTATACATTCTAATGCAAACAAGGTATGCATCGGTTGACAGCCTCTTAAATACTTAGAGCCACATATATGATAAGATACTTTCAAATATAAGAGCGTTAACTATCTTTATCCAAACGTATTTGAAATGATTGACAGCTTAATTCAGATACAATAATTTGGGCTTACACATAGCCTGTAAGACTAAGATATACGCATACCAAATCTGACTAGAATTTTAAAACCAAAATAATGTTGATATTGAAGTTGAA